TAAACAACCCAAACCAAATGGTGATATCCATACATGGAAGAAACTATATACTTTAAGGTGAAAGAGAAAAAAATTTAAAAGAAGACTTAAAAAAAAAAAAGAAATCCCAAAGTGAGGCAGTATTTTGTCTTTGTAGAGGATTTGAGGGGTATTCCCCCTTACTAAGTTTTCTCTTCAAGATCTGCACTTCCAATCTGATCAGCTCTCCAGACTGGCTTGGATGGGTTGCATTCCCTCTATGGAGGATGTCGACAGTGTTTCCCAACCCTTTGTTCCACAGCCCTTGTCACTGCTTGAGTGATGGGGCCTATGTAGAAACCAGCACTCTCATCCACCAACTCTGTGGGCAGTCTTCAGGAATTGGAGGGGCTCCCACAGCCTTTTCTCACTGTTTACCTGGGGCCAGGGAGGGAGCTGTTTACTCACTTGCCAGCTTAGGCCACAGGCTGGCTTTTGTGATTACAACATGGTTCCATTGCAGCCCTTCTTTTCTGGCATTGAGCTGGGGGATAGGTCACTCACGAACACCCCTTCCTGATTCTTCTTGTGGAGCTGCTGTTCTGTGAGGTAGCTGGCTGCTGGCATGAAGTTCCTTTGTTTACTGCTTCTCTGGAGCCAGATGTACCTCCATTTGTGTCCTTTTCCATATCCTCCAAGCCTGCAGTTTTGTTTCCTTCATGTGATGTTGTGGGTACATAGGTCAGGGGGCGGAGGAGGCACAGACCCCTGGCTGTAGCAGCAGCTCATCACTTTTTGCCAAACTGCAGGTACTGCGTACTGTGTACTCTAAGCTGCAAGTTGTAGCCAAGTCATGCAGTGCTGTGGATCTGCAGTCCTTTAAGTGTGGAATTTGTTTCCTTTTTCTCCTGTTTTAGAAGTTTAACATTTGCTATATCTTGATTGGTACTAAATTCTGACCACTCATAATTTTCCTGACATCCTCACTTAACCTGGATTTCTTGCTAAAGCTCCATACCTGCAATTGATCAGAGGGGGTTCTGACTTTTCCCTGTCACTACTTGGCACTTTCCTAGAATCCCTGTGGTCATAATTCCTGTCACGTAAATAACAACATCCTCCAACCTGCCTTTCATGTCTTGACCAGTCACCTTTTCTGAGGCAACAAACTCAAACTATGTATTTCTGTCGTTGTTTTAGTTGCAGACCATAGGAAACAGTCTAGCAAGATTAAGACTAGAAATATACTTCAGTTATGGAATAAAGAGATTACTGGGCATTAGTACATACAAAATCAGAGGAAGAAGATTACAGATAGTAACCTAACTGAGAGAAAAAATGCGCTATTAAGAAGTACATGCAGCTAATGTAAGAAACAAGTTGGGAAATTGGGAAATTACTTTTTCTGTGCTGATGCTTTCACTACATCAGTGCCTTACCTCATGAGATCAAACTACCTCTGAAATTACTCTGAGAAGACTACATCTCTTTTTTTGCCCACTACCTCACCTGCTTATACTTTCAAAACCTTCCTTGCAGGAATTTTGTTCACCTGGGAATCTAGCTTTAATGGAATCGGTGGGATATATTCTAGCTGTTCTGTTTCAGAAATACATGAATACTCTCTAGAAAGAGCAGAAGTGGGTATTCATTGAACCAGCATGCAGTAAGTCCAGCATTATTTTTCAAGGCCTTACCAGTTGGGTATCATTTCTAATGTCTTCTTATCACTTGTTCAGTTTTCACTGACCTCCTCCTGCCTCAGCTCCTGGTCCTTAGGGAAGTATCACTCATTTTAAAACATAGTTCAATATTACTTTGGATTTTTCACTTTTGTTCCATGTCTATCTTGTTAAACTAGCAATAAATTTCTGGAGATAATGTCTTCTGCTTAAATTCTTAATTTCTAGCAGTATGTCCTCACTCAAACTGAGGACTTATCTAGTCCTCCTTAAATACTGGAGAGATGGTTGACTCAAATTGTTTCCTTCTAGAGCATATATTTCAGTTAACTATTGCTGGGTTATTAACACCATCAAAGTTCCTATCTTTCTCAGTTCTGTGGACTGACTGAATTTAGCTGGGTTACTTCTGATTTTGGATCTCTCAAAATTTTGAGAGAATCAAATTGTTTGCAGTTAGATTTAGAATTAGTGGACAGCTTCTGTACTCATATATCTGGTATCCTCAGTGTTCTTCAGCATGGCATCTCTCATCAGTGAGAGTTTATTATATAATGGCTTAGGACTCAAGAAAGGAAAATCCTTAATTCCCTAACAGGCACAGCATATTATATTTGATTGTCATTAATCAAGATAGTTAAAGATCAAGTCCAAATTCAAGGAGAGGAGAAACTTTGCTTCAAAGGAAGGAAATGGGGTGGGTACACAGGGAAAGAAAGTGCTGAATAGTATCCAACTTTGGAGCAAACTCTACCACATAGTTTAAACAGTGAATAATATTATACTATTACATATAATATAGAATTATATATAACTTTATTTTATATATATATATGTGTATATATATTTTTATAGCCATAGACACTAGAATTCCCTGAATGTATGTATTCAGGATCAATCACTATGCAACCTGAAGGGATAGGCAGCATCTTCCATTCTACTCTGTCAGGGACATAGCAAAGACTCAGGTTTAATGGCTTGACGTTCACAATGTCATTTTGCTCTAGCACTATGCTCTGTGTCTTAAAAAGAATACTGAACCAAAGCAGGAAACATTAATACTTTTTATTTTTCAAAAACTTTCATTTCTGCTTCCACACCACTTTGTACCACACTGTACAAAGAAAAGTGAAGATTCATCTCTGTTAGTATAACTGCATTAAGAAAGACTAAGATAGCCGGAGTGCAGAACTCTTAGGCCATACATTGAATTATTTTTCTGCATCTCAAGATTTGAGTTTTCTGAGAATGTGGAGGGAATTTTATTATGCATAGAAAAAATATTGGCATAATTGTATAATCAGAAAGACACATAAAACTAGAAGTCTACCATTGTCCTAGAAAATTTAAAAACTCAACTTCATTAAATTCATGCTTATATTGTCTAGGTTTCATAGTAAGAAAAAACCTGAGGGGGAGAGATTAATAATATGAATATAATTAAATACAGTATATTTGGTACCAACTCTGGCAGTGTTGGGAAAATCAGATTATTATGAGCTGGAGTAATCTGAAATCATTTTGTGGAGGAGGTAGCACTTCATTGTGGACTTGATATAAATAGAATTTGGGTAGGTAAAGAAAATATGGACACATTTGGGTATATATTTCAGGAAAGGGATCCAGCATAATTGATTAAGAGTACAGATTTGGTTGAGGAGAGGTTGGAAGGATAGAAGTAGTAAGAAAAGCGACACCACTGCAGACAAAATTTGTATTAGGAAAGAAGATAAAATTTAACAAATATAAGGCACCTGTCTTCTAGACAAAAGGAGAACTGAGTAAGATTAGAAAGGAAACAAGCTTCGGTATGGGAAAGATACTGTTGTAGTGTGCTAAGGATGGATCAGAGGGGGAAGAGATTTTTGTAGATTCATTAAACCTTACAGTGGTAGGAATAATCTATGCAGTATCATGAAAAGATAAGGTAGATGAGCTTTGAGTTAGTTTGCTAGGGCTACTGTACAAAATACCACATCCTAAGTGGCTAAGAATAGCAGAAATTAGTCTTTGACAGTTCTGAGGCCTCAAGTCTGAAATCATAGCTATCAGGGTTATACTTATTCTGACACATCTAAGGGATGGATTCTGATCCTGCCTTTAGATCCTTTTTTCCCCCTGGTAGTTTTCCCATAATATTTGGCTGCAGCTCTTCCTGCTCCTCTTCCTCTTCTTTGTCTTATAGATGCATCACTCCCATCTTTGATCTGCACATAGCTGTATTTTTTTTTCCATCTGTATATCTGTCTCTTCACATGATATTCCTTCTACAAGGAAACCAGTCATAATGGGCTAGGGATGTGTCCTCCAGCATAAAGTCATCTACACTAATTACATTTCCAAATAAGTTATGATTTTGAAATACTGGGTATTGATGTTGAAGTCTTCACCATACCCTTTGGGAACAAGGACAAAATTCAAGTCACAATAGCTTTCCTTCCAGATTTTAGTTCTTAGACTAGGAACTTCAGAATTGTTGAGTGTGAACAAATGGAGAATGTGCAAGGCTGTATTAAAATCTCTGTTCTTTGGTGAGGCTTCTTTTTTACTTCAGAGTTGGGGGTAAAGCACAGCTCCGCAAGGAGAAAAAGTCCAGATTATTTGAACACCTTTTCCTGTTTTAAGAATGTAGAAATGTGACTTCTATTTTTAATATATTTCCAGATAAATCTAGTTTTCATGATAGCCTAGCTTCTAAATCCTGGATCTCATAGAATAGCATATTATGTTCAAGATGAGTTTTATTTAGAAAGCTAGCAAGCAGATTATATGTCTCATAAAAGTTAATGAATGACTATTCTTTATTTCTTTTTACCATATCATATGTCTATATACTTAGCTTGCCACAAAGATATATAAGATATATGTAGAAGCCAAGTGGCAGTGGCTCACACCTATAATCTTAGTAGTTAAGAGGCTGAAATCTAAGGATTGTGGTTTAGAGCTAGCACAGGCAGAAAAGTCTATGAAACTCTTATCTCCAATTAACTACCAAAAAAGCCAGAATGGAGCTGTGGCTCAAGTGGTAGAGTGCTAGCCTTGAGCAGAAAAGCACAGGGACACCACCTAGGCCCTGAATTCAAGCCCCAGGACCATCACCAAAAAAAAAAAAATATTCAAAGAAGATATATGTAGAGTATAGAACATATTTTCTTAATGTTTTCAAGTATATTATATCATTCTAGGTTATGGAACTGTCTTCAAGAGACATTCATCTAGTTTGTAGCTTTCATCACAGGGGATATCCTGCTAATCAGAGATTCCAGACAGTTCTACAGTTTTCATCAGCAGTTAGCCAACTTTAGTAAAGAAATATGTGATGATATGCCTATTGCAACAGAGTCTTTTTTCTTCCTTCAGAATCTTCCCCAGGTGTGACAGAGGTTACAATCATAGAAAAAGCACCTGCTGAACGTCATATGATTTCTTCATGGGAACAAGTAAGTGCTGCAATGTGGAATACTTTTCTCCCAACAAAGAGAAATCAACTTAAATGCCCCCTGAGAAGGAAAGATCAGATCAGGAAATGTATTTCTATGTTTGGGCACAACTGCCTTCCATGTCATTTTCTCAGCATGAAGTATCTCCTGTGACCTCTGCTAATCCTATGGAAACAGTGGGTATTTGAAGTTGTATATGACAAAACTAAAAGTCCAACAGAGAATAGAAAGAAATCGATGTATATAAATAATCAACATATGTCTAAGTGTTACAGGTAACTTAACCAGATCCATAGCTAGAACCCAATTTTTCTCTGATCATTTGGTCAGTATAACTTTTAAGCTCCTAAAATGATCCAAGCACTATGCTTGCTATTGAGCCTTGGGGATTTTTTAAATAGTAATTTTTAATAAGGCACTGTTCTTACCTGCTGATCTTGCTGTATAAGGCCAATATAGATTTTTATAAGCATAAATACAAACTGGATTAAGTAAAAAGATGTAAAGGGATAAACATCCAGAGAAACTTTGAGAAGTTGTTAAGCAGGCAGATGGTATCTGTTTAAAGGTTTCAACATGGAAGGATTACATTATTCCAAGAACATAACGAAGGAACACAAGAGAGGGAGCAAGAGAGATATCAATGAGCACTAAGACACGTAGGGCTTCATAGATTAGTAGACTGCTCTTTATCTTGGGAGCTAATGAATTAAGTAGGGAACTGGGAAAGTCAGTTTTCTGCTTTAAAAAGATCACTTGGTAGAGTGGCAAACATATTTGACTAGGGGTGGCAGCTAAGAAATTACTTAGTCAGTTAATAAGTGGCTTCAAACATACATGCTATTTCCTGCAGGGTGCATATTGGTATCTTTACTTTATAGATAAAGTCAGGCTTGAAGAGGTTAAGAATCTGTCTGTGTCATACAGTTACCCAGGGGCACAGAGCCTGAGTTTGAACTCTGAATGCCCTACCTCTAAACACATGGCTTATCTACACTATATGCTTCTGTCTAACAGAAGACAGTGCTGTGGGAGTCTTGCCCAATAGTCAGGCAGCTTATGGGCATGTGCTCAGTTCTACCAGCATGATTCTTCTCTTTGGCTCAAGCCAGTAGCAACTCAGTAAGTGAAAGTTGAGGGTTTTTTCCCAGGACTTCAGCTCATCAGCACATCTACTTTTCTCATGGCTTCTCTCAGTCCCTCTGTATTTCAGTTCGTGTTAAGCTTGTTTTTGCTTTTTTTAAAAAATTTTAATCAAGAAATAATTATGGGGTTCCTGTGATATTTCAATACATACATTGTAGAATGCTCAATCATGCTAATGATCATATCTATCACCTCAAACCTTATTATGTGTGGTGAGAACATTTAAAATCCTCTTAGCTATTTTAAAATATAGTACATATTGTTCATTGTGGTCACCATACTTTGCAGTAGGTAGAACACTAGTACCTCTTAAACCATTGGCCAACTTCTCTCTTTCTCTACCCTCAACCTCTGTTATTCTACATCTATGAGTTTGACTTTTGTAGATTCCACATATAAGAGAGATAACAAGGTATTTGTCTGTGCCCAGCTTATTTCACTTTACTGAAATGTCCATATTATCCAGAGCACTGGTTTATAGATTCCGCTTCATCCCCACCAAAATTACTATGTTACTTTCACAGAAATAAAAGAAACAATCCCAACACTTATATGAAACTATAAATGACTCTTAACAGCCAAAGAAATCCTGACAAAAAAAGGAGAAAACTGGAGATGTCACACAGCGAGATTTCAAAGTAAATCACAAAGCTATAGTAAATCAAAACAGTATGGTACTAATATTAAACAGACACATTACCCAGTGAGGTAGCTCATGCTATTCTAACTATTCCAGAGGTTAAAATCTGGAGGCTTGTGGTTCAAAGCTAGCCCAGCAAAAAGTTCATGGGACACCATTTCAGTCAATAAAAAGCTCAGGGATACATGCTTGTCATTCCATCTGTGTGAAAAATAGAAACAGGAAGATCCACAGTTCAGGCAGGAGGTCCTGAGTTTACCCATTCTGTAAAAAAAAATAGATTCATTTTTCAGTGTTGAACTCTTATAAGCTGATCCTTTTCCTATTATTTCTGTAGGTTTGTTTTGTTAACATTATTAGAAATAACACTGAAAGATGTGGCTGAGGCCTGGAGCAGTGGCTCACACTTATGATGTCAGCTACCTAGGAAAGATAGATAGGAAGATCACAGACCAAGGCTGGCCCTTGGAGTCTGAGGGAGACCCTATCTGAAAAAAGAAAAAAGGAAGAAGAAAAGACAATATGGCTGGGGACATTTCTTTGTTCTTTTGGCCTAAGTTCACTGTTTAAGAACTACCTCAGCCAGGTGCTGGTGGCTCACACCTGTAATTCTAGCTACTCAGGAGCCCAGAGACCCTAGAAATGGTATCCTGAAAGAGCCACTCGGGAAAGCTAAAAGTGGCGGGGGAAGGGACTGAAGCACTGTATCACCTAGGTGTCTTGACCTGAAAGATGTGCAGTAAAGCAGCTGCAGAGCCAAGGCCCATCATTTATACTAAGACAATAACTCGCTGTTTTTCATGAATTTGACTTGAAAATTTATCTTAGTACTTGAAAAAGTATTGATTTCTCCAGATTTTTCCTATGTTTATGAATTGTGCACTTTAATACTATTATGAAATCCCATGATTTTTTTCTTCAAATAAATAAATACCAAAAAATAATCCCTAGTACTAGAATTTTCTAGTTTAGAGATGACCAATACCATGTAATTTACCAGACAAAAAGACTAGTTTCCTGGTCTTCACCACTAGATGGCACTAGTAATTAAAACCTTCAGTAGCTGGCCTTTTGACACTACAGAAGGATGAAGAATTTTGTCAGAAGACTGTTAAGTGGCCTGAGAATTCCTTAAATTTCATTTTTTTAAAATTTTATTGTAAAGATGCTATACAGAGGGGTTACAGTTACAGAGTAAGGCAATGAACACATTACTTGTCAATCATTGTTACCCATTCCCTTGTGTTATCCCACTATTCCTACCCTCCCCCACCTCCCACACTCCTCACCACCCCACCTCACCCCCACCCCCACCCAAAGTTGTAAAGTTCATTTCCAGTATACTGTCCTGTGGGTATCATTGTTGTAATGGGTCATCCTGTGTCCTTGTTTCAGGGTTTTGTTATTCTCCTTCCCCTCCCCAGATTAGACAAATGTATATACAAGATGCAGGGTCCCAAAATCAAGTACAGTGACAACAGGGGATATACCATAGGGAAAAGAACATACAAAGGAACAAACAACAACAAAATCACATGGTACATTTGAAACAGTCTTTTAATTTCATTTCTGTGAAATTGGCAACAAGGAAAAAATATAGAAACTGATCAGAATGCATGTTCTATTAAAAACTTGATTTACTAATATGACAACTATTGGGTATTTAATAATCCAGACACAACTGCTTTAAAATCACTGATTAAAACCCCCCACAAAACTCATGTACAGTTCTTGAAGGTGCTGTGGCTGCACATCACAGTACTTTCCTAGTCCTCTCACTTTCCGTCAGGTTTACACCCCTCCCATCTATATATAGTGTTTTGTAGATTCAGTCTTATGTTAATTCTGGAATCTAGATTCAGAGTTTAACATACTCAAGGCCAACCAGCTAATGGTAGAATTCAGAAGTTTACTCTTTCCTTGCTTTATAAGAGTTTCCTACACACAGAACACCTAGACCTGACTTGACAGTGTTACCTAAAGCATACTTGACTGACACAGTTGTCAATATCACATCTTAGGTGGGTCAAATAACCTAAAAGTTTGGACATTTACTAATAGTTGCCCCTTTGCCTCTATAACCACTTCTAGAAGTCACTGTCAATGGCTTCTGAAATGAAACTAGGAAACTCATCCTTCAGTGTGCTCCAGCAATTTGAGTTGACTAGAACAACTGGTTAGGTTCATGCCAAGGCATGAATTAGTTCAAATTTAGGCTTGTTTCTCTGCATCAACAGTTCATATGATTTGTTTATATATATGAAACATCTATGTATGTCTTACTATACTTTTTTTCACTAAGAACTATCCAAACTAGAATAGATTTATTACATTAAGTGCTCTGGCTATGCAGTCTCTGCTCTAATGAGCAACTGTTTTAGCCAATAATTTGTTTCTGAAAGTATTAAATGATGGCAATGACTGTTGTGCTCTTATAGTCAGGCTTCACTTAGGACCTCCTGTCATCACATTCCAAGTGCTGCTTCAGCTTGTTACCTTTGGGCTCCTACTCTAGCTAGCTATTGCACATCATAGCAAACAGACATCTAGTTTGCTTTATCCAGTGAGGCCAAAAAAAGTCAGTGGTAAATTGGTGACTCTTGGCAATAGTGTCCGCTAGTGTCCTCAGTGCCTTAAGGCTATAGCCCTATACCCTCTTTTCTAGCCTTGACCTAACATTCAGCTACTTTGTGCTCCTAGAAAAATAACTGCGTGATGCCTGAGGATGTGAAAAACTTTTACCTAATGACCAATGGCTTCCATATGACGTGGAATGTGAAGCTAGACGGTAAGTTGGCCTCCTTGCTGTGGAAGACATATTTCCTGGAGGAGAGTTTGGATGGAACAGTTCTGTGAGGACCCTTTCAACTTTTCAGTCTTTGAATTTAGACAGCTTTGTTAGTGTTTCTCAGGTGCCACATCCAGAAGATGTGATTTATCTCCCAAACCTAACATACCATCAGTGCTTTACTTCTTACCATCCTGTTCCAGTGACTAGATGAGTATTATCATCTGGAAGCTCAAATTAGAGGACTCCTATTGAAATAAGATGGAGCAAAATATTAGTTCCTACACAAAGAACCCAACCAACTCAAACTTAAAGCCTTGAGTACTACTGTTTGGAGCAAACTTCTCTGGGTAAGAAATATATATCCCCTAGACTCCTTCCTTTATTCTCACTATTGTGAAGACTTCAGGTCTGAAAAACAGGATCTTTCCTCTCTTTCTATATCACCTTAGCCTAAGTGACCAACCTCCTCTGTTTGTAAGCTATCATCATGGCTAAGTGTGTCTAGCCCAAAATATTTGCATTGGAGGCATAGGAACTTAAACTTTGTACATGTTAAAGTTTGTGAGTGCTATATAGACATGAAATGCTCTTATAAATATTCATAAGCTAGGAAATCTTGCCCTGTCTGGGGTTCAGCCTATTCATGGCACAAACTTGCCAGCACTTTTCTCTGTCAGCCCTTTTTACCTCCAAGCCCAACGACATCCCCAGATCTCCTTTAGCTTTTGGAAACTTGAATACTTCCCCACTGCTATCCCTGAGAAAGAGTGACGTCTGGTGCACAGCAGGCCTACAGAGCTGGTGACTTCTCATCATCATGCCTCTGTTTCCTGCCTATACATCTGAGTTCCTGTGTGTGTGTGTGTGATTCCCAAAGCCTTCCTACCTCTTCTATAACTGACATTAGTGTGTAGTTAAATCTTTTCCTTTAATGGCCTAGAAACTATCTGTCACTAGCATCAGTACCCTGTTCTATAGTATAGCCATCAACTTTGGAATCTGGAGCAACAGACAAGGGACAGAGACTAAACTGACACTCCTTTTTCCATATCAGGCCATTCCTTTCAGGAGTCTGCTGCAGAGATGTTTCATGAATATTTTCATGAATGAGTCCCTGTTGATTATAAAAATGTTATATAATTTAATGTTTGCAGTCTTGGTCTTTATTCCTATAACCATACCCATTCTTTACTGTATAGTTCAAATCAGTGATAGAAAAGGCATAAGAAACCTCAGAAAAACTTTAGCAGTCTTTTCTCCTTGATTCTATGATCTATATACCAGCTGTTTCATTGCCTTCAAACATAATAGTTTTTTTCAGACATCAGATTTCTAAGACTTTGTTTGCCACCCTGTGTCCATCATCCTATTTAACAATGGTTCTGTATAATTCTAACATATAAGGAAAATATGCAGCCTTACTGTTCCTTAAAGCACAGATGTAGAATTGATCAAGAAGGGTGCCAGGTTGTCTCCAGATAGTAAGAGAAAATGACCAGTTAGAGGGAGAGATTTTCCAACATGAAGGTGTATAAAAAGAAGAGAAAAGGCCCATTGTAAAAGGAAAGCTGTTACTCATTTGTAAAGTGTTATTCTCCATGTAAAATGTGGACTAAAACAATGGAAAGAAAAAGCAAAAATATTTCAAGCCATTTACTCTTCAAATAGGATTCCTAAATCCAGACTTCATAATTCTGAGTACCTCTTAAAATTATTTTTGACTGAACCATGATAAATAGGTAGTATTCATCACTTCTGGCCCCTAGTTCCTTTTTGTTCTCATGAAAGGCTTATGCATTGGGGCATGGAATGAGTGATCCTCCTCTATCTCTCTCTCTGATTCCTCAGCCATGGACCAAACAGTCCCTGGGCTTATATGGTTCAAGCAGAAATCTTCATGATGACTATGGTAACTAAGCTTTTATGTCAGTCTTTTTATGTTCCCACAGAGCACATCATTCCCTTGGGCAGCATGACAATTAACAGCATCTCCAAACTGACTCAGCTCAACCATTCTTCCATGTACTCACTTCCTAATGCACCAACTCTGGCAGACCTGGAGGATGATACACAGGAAGGTACCTAGCAGAAATTCTTTTGGGGGCTAGATATAACCAGCTTATTTCAGAACCACAGAAGAGGCTTATAGCAGCTTCTCAGAGCACTGAAACTAAGATTTTTTTTTAAAAGCCTATATCAATAAGGGAAATTTTCTTGAAGGAATGTCAGGGTTGGCATCCATATTTTGTTTCCTATACTCAGTTCCGTGTCTGGTATATAGTGTATTTCGTCAATGAACAAATCTAGATTAAACCACACAACAATTCAGTGTCAGGAGTTTTCAGTTTCTTGTATAGAACTAAATTGTGGAGCTTAAATTACTATTTTCTTCTTGGCTCTTGTCCAGAGTTCACTCAGCAACTTAAAGGCCTCCTCTGGATATTAGCCAATGACCCTTTCACAATATGGTAGCACTTTTAAAACAAGAAAATTTCTTCCTAGTGCACTGCAAATCTTTTTTTTTTTAGCGTCTGATTTATAATTTTTTTGTATATATTTTTATTGTAAAAATACTGTACAGAGGGGTTACAGTTACATGAATAAGGTAATGAGTACATTTCCTATGGAGCATTGTTACCTCCTCCTTTGTTTTTCCCCTACCATCCCTCCCCACCACCCAAACTCCTCCCTCCCCACACCCTGAAGTTCTAAAGTTTGTTTTCAACATAGTGACTTGTACACCTGATTGTTACAATAGGTCAACCTGTATCCTGTATCAGCATTTTGTTATTTCCCTTCCCCCCAAGTTAGAAAAATGTATATACAAGATGGAGGGCACCAGAATCAAATAATAGTGAAAACAGGGGTTATACCATGGGGGAAGAACATACAGAAAAAACAAAAATAATCACATGGTACATTATAAGTACATTAAAAACAACAGCTACAAAGATAAAACCTCTTATGTCCCTATCTTGGGGTTCATTTCACTTAGCATCATCTTATATGGTCATATGTACAAGCTTTCTGCTTTTCCTACACATATACTAGTTATTGCAAATAAGGGAAACCATTAGACCTGTTTCTTTGGTCCTGGCAAGTCTTTCCATTTCCTAACAAATGAGGTATCATTCTTTCTGATGGAGGTATAGAATTCCATTGTATATATACCACATTTTCTTGATCCATTCATCTACTGAGGAGCATCTGGGTTGGTTCCAAATCTTAGCTATGGTAAATAATGCTGTTATAAACATAGTTGTGTTGGTAGCTTTAGTATAGTCTTGTTTGTGATTGTTTGGGTAAATGCCCAAAAGTAGGATTGCTGGGTCATAGGGGAGCTCTATGTGGAGTCTTTTGAGGAACCTCCATACTGCTTTCCAAAGTGGTTGAACAAGTTTACACTCCCACCAACAAACTGCAGATCTTTTTAATGTAATCAAAGGAAAGATTACCTATCATTTCTACAGGTCCTGACCACTCTTGAGAGGAGAGACTTACCTGAGGTATATGCACCAGGGGGAAATAACTTTGGGGGTCATTGTAGAGTTTTGTGTGCCCCATTTAGTTAGGAAAAAAATGGCTTATATTTTCGAGTAAGAAAGCCATATTGATTTAACCACATAATCAAAAAACAAAGGAAGGTAACATTTGCCAATCTATCTTAATACAGATAGAATGGTTCTTGGAAAGATTAGATTTATTTAAAAATGAATAACAGAATTTCAGTCAGAGAAGCACAGGCTATGTAACAAGTCAAGAATATATCCAGAAAAGTCCAGGTAAGAAGGGAATTCCCTTTGGAGTTCATTGGTATCAGAAAGTCATTGCAAAAGTTGGTGTTAGCCCATTAGTGAAAGTCTTTAAGAATGTCTACAATAAATCTTGATAAAGAAAAATACATGCGAAATGAGCAGGGTGTAAAAGCAGAATATGATATGAAATTCATATCAAATGTGAAGGAATTTCTTGTGAGGTTTAGGAAGTTCTTATATCATTTAGGCACAAGCCTGATGCTCTACTCCTTCATAACCTGCCTGCTCTGTTGTTTCTGTGTGGACAAAATAATTACTTTAGTGTCAACAGCTTTTGCATTAAACTACCCTACACCAAAGAAAAATGGAAGAAAACAAGGCAGATCAGTTATTATAGTCATTCTTTAAAAGGTATAGATTAATATAAAAAGCAAAACGTGTATTATGTTTTTCAACATACTTAAGCTGATCAAGAGACCTTTCTCTTCTGGTAATAATGGCAGATATGTAAATCAGATCAATCTTCTTGCTGAACAGTAGAAAGCTGGTTAAGATTTAAAAATCGTATTCCTAAGTTTAGCATCAGAAGTAATAAGATCTAATATCAGGTTAACATTCTGAATGAGAAATCCAGGGAAGATGCTTGAAATGTGAAGTTGCTTTTGCCTAGGGTACATTGATATATATTGAATAAACCTATGAACAGGCCAGGAAAAAAATGAAGAAACCAAAAAATATCATAATGAAATTGCTCAAAGTGAGGGAAAAAGAAAAAGAAGCATCTGAAGGGAAAAGACAAGTTACAAAGACAAAGAGTAATAACTCAAAGTGAGATCAACTACTCGAAGAAAATAATTGTCAGCCTTACTCTATACCCAGTAAAAATATCTTTCAAATACGAGGAGCTTTTTATGAAAAAGCAGTCTGGCAACATGCATTCTACTTTAGGAAATCTGTCCCATATATTAAAAGTACCAGAACATAAGGATATATGCAGAGTTTATTTTAGCACTCATACTAAAGTACTGATAAGGTGAATGTGTATATTGATAAAGAAATAGGGGAGTAAATTAAGAGTAAGCCATTTCTGCCAACTATCAAGCAACCACTAAAAAGAATCAGTTACATTCCAAGACTTAGGGGACTTTCTATTATGCAGAAAACATGTGTATGCATATGTGTGTATGTGTGTGTGAGTATATATGATAGCCCATTTTTATAAAACAGTCCCAAAAAAGGAAAAGTATGACTATATCACCCCATTCAGATTTCTCTGCCTTCATGTAGTTCCAGTCCAAAGTAGTTTACTTTATGCAAGCTTCCCAGATTTCCTGACACTGTCTGTTGGTGAAGGAGAAACACAGACAAATAGGCCTAATCCATCCTAAATCCAGGGCATTTAGAGTATAGAGTATTTCCAATATAATACTTGAGAAATATGACTGAAGTCTGTGCCAGTGGCTCACACCTATAATCCTAGCTATGTAGTAGGTTGAGATCTGAAAGTTGAGGTTTGGAGCCAACCTGGGCAGATAAATCCAAGAGACTCTTACCGTTAGTTAACCAACAAAAAGCCGGAACTGGAAATGTGGGTCAAGTAGTATAGTTCTAGCTATGAGTAAAAATGTAAGGCTCTGAGTTTAAGCCCCAGTACCAGCAAAAATGTGAAATAATCTTCCTCACTGTGTTTTTCCAGTCAGGGGTATATAGATCTGTGTTTGAGTTTGTTTTAACATTACCATTAACTTCTGGGTTTGCAGCCAATGAAGACCAACCAGAAAAGCCTCACTTTGACTCTCGCAGTGTGATATTTGAGCTGGATTCATGCAGTGGGAACGGGAAGGTTTGCCTTGTTTACAAGAATGGGAAACCAGGTAAGGATCATGTTATAGTTTGGGTGTAACACTGCCTGATTTTACTTGTCAGCTTGTCACAAAAGGCACACAACTTTCTGACCTCCTGAGAAGCCATCAGGTAGGAGCCACAAATCCTTTTTGGTCCTCTCTAAGTATTCCTCACTAGATTAATTTCTTTTTTTTTTTTGGTCGGTCATGGGGCTTGAATTCTGGGCTTGGGCGCTGTCCCTCAGCTCTTCAGCTCAAGGTAAGCGCTCTACTGCTTGAGCTATAGCACCACTTCCAACTAGATTAATTTCTAAGCCATCTTATGTAACTGTAAAACAGTCAATAGGATTAGATAATAGTCTTTACTATGAGCAATAGTCCTTTTAAAGACTCATAGGCTCATAATATTAGCTAATCATACAGAAAACATGTTATCTTCTATAGTTCTCTAAGCAGGTTAACAATAGCTTCAAACGATCTGAGTTTCTAGGTTGTTCCCAGTGGAAGTCAGGAAAAGAGGGGAGTCATGTGGTAGTTACTAAGGCTTTGTATTCTTCAGCAGCAATTTCTACCTGGCTCCCTAAAAGCAGTTCAGGTCTAGGGACTATGGAACTATAGAGGTGGACCAGGCCATACCCTAATCAGGTAGCTCTGATGGTGTAAGAAGGTACAGACCTCAGGATTACCCTTAAGGGAAGGAGAGATCTCCTGTTGGAAGAATCTTAACAAAATAGCCTTTCAGCTAAATCTTGTACTATGGTCGGAATTATATATGGAAGAAGGAGTAAAAGGAGCATCCAAGCAAAGCTACGAATGTGTAAAGCCATGCACACACATAGAAAACTTGTGAACTTTTGAAAATACAACTGAGCTGGGGGAATGGTAAGTATAATTTAGTGAGCTACACACTTCACCTAAAGGATGAAGTAATTAGACTAGACTCATGCTGAGTCTCGTTAAGAATAGAAGGCCAGGTAGTCTAATAGGGTTCTTTAGCAGGATTTACATGGATAATAAAAGCAGTTTTGAAGAAGGAAAGGACTGGGTAATTGAGGCTCCTTAGGGAGATGTTATAGCTATGTAGATAGCAGATCAGCAGGGTTAGGCTTGAAGTGATCAGAATGGAAGGTCTGAAACAGGTGTGAGGCAGGAGCTGGTCTGAGAGCCCATTGGCTCAACCAGGATATTCCACAACATCTCAGGCAGGATACCCAGGAGTGAACTGGGCTTCTTTATAGACGTCTTTCAAGCAATTTGGATTCCTGAAAGACTTCTCAGAAAAGGTCTGAATCATTCAATTTCCATTGGAAAAGCTGCAAGCATAGTAGATACTTACTGAGGGAGGGGAATGCTGAGTACTCACAGAATAGGGGCTTCAGTTTAGAGTCTTAATGTTCCTCCCAATAGTCAAAGGGCAGCAGATAGATCCATTGACTGATTTATCTGCCTTTGTAAGACTATAAAATAAACTGTCAAAAAGCAACCACTGGAAAATGGGACTGTAAGTTGGCAGAAAAAAGAAACTTGGGATTTTCTTTTACTTATGAGTGCCTATTAACTTTATAATAGACAAAAAGTGCTAAAGTGTTTATTTCCTGTATTACTTTAGGATTCACACAAGATACTGAAATCTGGTTCCTGGACAGAGCATTATATTGGCATTTTCTCACAGATACCTTTACTGCATATTATCGCCTGCTCATCACCCACCTGGGCCTGCCACAGTGGCAGTATGCCTTCACCAGCTATGGCATTAGCCCACAAGCCAAGGTAAAAGAGAGCCTGTAATGTGTATCAAAATCTTTGGAGAAAAGGGTTTCAGAAAATGCCAATTCCCTAACTTCCCTATCTTATTCCTCTGATATCCCAGTATCCTCCCCTAGGGGCAGCTATAGTTACTAGTTTGTATAGCTTTCCAAGAAACTCTTTGCTTGTAAAGCATAAGTGCATATTTTTTTGGTGCCTGTTTAATAGATATTTGAGGCTGACCACCATCTGAAACACATGCCAGGAAATCAGACTGACATACACCAGGTATTGCCAGAAGAACTTTTGACTGGAGTGTGCTGTTCTAGGCTCTTTCATAGTGGTTTACAGCACTAAATTAGCAAGAAAATAAGGACTCCATTCCAATGCAACCTTTTTGTGTGTTCATCAAATAGGCTTTATTTTCCTCAAATGTCACATGACATCTTCTATCTGGTCAGTTTCGTGAGATAGTTGTGATCCAAGAAAGGCCAATATGTAGATACCCTTTGTCCTCAGTGCAACCTGGAAAGTTAGTAGGGAAAAGAATACCAGCATTGGCAGCTTCCCTCAGTAAAAACCTGCATTAGCATCATACCTCCTTCTGGAGGAAGGGTACTGTCTAAATGACCCTAATAGGAAACAGCTACTTTGAAGACAGGATGCTTTTTCCCCTGGTAGGCTCACTAGATTCTAAGGGTTCTTCTCATACTTTATTTTAAAGGCAGTGATGCCTCATAAAGTATATAGCTAATCAAGGGTTAATGCAGTCTGATACCGCTTTCTCTTAATTTTAAGAGCTAATAGAGTTTGCAAACAGATTTTCATAAAAAATTTATACAAGTAGTTGAATATTCTTTAACTGAAACGTTTGGAGCCAGAAGTGAGGTTTTGTGTTTTTCAGACTTTTAATATTTGTATATAATATACTGGTGGTTGCTCAGTTTATATTGTCTTCTCCTTTTCTTTCCTACCTCTGTACCCTTCACTCCATTAAAGAATACAAAAAATGACATTTTAGTGACTGTTTCTCAATTCTGCCTTACAGCAATGGTTCAGCATGTATAAACCTATCACATACAACACAGATCTGCTCACAGAAGACACCGACTCCTTTGTGAACAAGTTGGATCCCAGCAAAGTGTTTATGAGCAAGGACAAGGCCTTAATCCCAAAGAAGAAAGGACCTGTGCAGCCTTCAGGTGGCCAGAAAGGACCCTCAGCAACTTCTACCTCTAAATCTTCCTCAGGAAATTCCATCCGAAAATGAGCACTCCTCTGCCCTTAACTCTTGCACTAGCCCCACAGCAGTGATTTTCATGTACAAATGGTGTCATCGGTAGCCCCAACCTTAGATTCTTATGTGCAAATATAGGCATCTTCCTGACAGAGTCCTAGCCTTTTACTCCCAATGGCACTCAGTCAGGAATTGGAAGGACATACTGAGTAAGTCCCTAGTCACAAGTGACTATCTAAACTTACATGAAAAATTCATATCTTCACTTGCATTAGCCACATTTCAAGTATTCATGTGGCTAGTAGATTGTGTATTGGATTGCATTCTGTTCTAGAAAGTTCTTGGGAACAACACAACATTAGAATACTTCGGAATATTTTCATGCTACTGCTCCTCAGATTATTAATCCTTCCCCATCATCACCTCATTTTACTCATTTTTAGTATTTTTTTTCAGCCAGTACTGGGGCTTGAACTCAGGGCCTGGGAGTTCTCCCTGAGCTCTTCTGCTCAAGGCTAGAGCTCTACCACTTGAGCCACAGCTCTACTTCTAGCTTTTTGTTGTTGTTGTTGTTAATTGGAGATAAGTCTCAGAATTTTCTTGGCTTCAAACTGTGATGGTCAGATCTCAGCCTTCTGAATACCTAGGATTACAGCTGTGAGCCACTGGCACTCAGATTTTGTTTAGTTTCTTATAAAAGGTTGGCTTCCTGATCAGTTTTGTGTTGTGATGTTCACACATTTTGCCAAAAATGCTTCTGCTGTGCTTTTATTTTACTCTGCAGAACTCTTCATGAAGAAGTTTTGATGAAGCCAGTCACTGCTTACAAAACTTTCTACCTGTTCTGCCTATTTATATACCTCTGAGTTGTCTAGCCCTACCCTGTCTGATCCACGGCCTTCTTTAAAACAGGCAGTCCCCTAACTTAGAACAAGGTGAGGGTTCCACAGTTCTTTGTAAGTTTCCTGATATTTAGAAATCATTTTCCCATAGGCACATAGGTCCTACATTCCTGCCAGCCCACATATACCTAACATTAGACACATGATAAATCTGAATTTACCTACTACTTATGGGGTTTCTATAGAGAAAATTGCTCAGGTTTTAATTAGTACTATCTAGGTCCTCATTCTGCAGCTCCAACCAGGGGCAGAGTCACTTCCCCAATCCTAAGATCCTTGAATGGATGTATTTTGAACTGAAATCCCAGAGGTCAGAGTTCTGAAGGGCAGGCCAATAAATGGCACATTCCAGTGTCATTTGGGTCTCTCAACCAGTTTGTCTAATCTTCCTTCCTTTGCACTGTGTTTCCCTGTTAATCAGTGCAGAGCTCTTCTCTCTTCCATAATCTACTAAAAGTCTCCATAATTCTTCACCTGTACTTTTGCTGTGACCCTTTGAATACTTGTGAAGTTTAAAAAAAAATTTTGATTCTTAACTATAGTGATAGAGGCTCACGAAAGAATGTCTTCAGTTCTTCCTACATGTACCACTTCACGATCTCTAAGGAAAACCAAGGTGAGGCATTAGCTTTTGAGGACCATGGCAAATTCTTGCTGGCTGCTTCCCTACCTCTCCCCACTTTTTTAATAGTACAAAGACTTGCAATCTTGGTGTTCAAAAGTATGTTTTGAGTTTCATTTTAACAGACTTGTTCAGTTGCTTTAAAATAAATAGGATGACATGTCAACCATACTGGTTTGCTTCTAATGGAAAATGCTGAAAACCAGGATCATTTCTTAATTTGTAGTTTCAAAACTAACCATTTATAATTCAGTTTTTTTTTTTTTTTTTGTCAGTCATGGGGCTTGAACTCTGGGCCTGGGCGCTGTCCCTCAGCTCTTCAGCTTAAGGCGAGTGCTCTACCATTTAAGCCACAGCGCCACTTCCAGTTTTCTGGTGGTTTATGGGAGATAAGAGTCTCATGGACTTTCCTGCCCAGGCTGGCTTTGAACCGAGATCCTCAGATCTCAGCCTCCTGAGTAGCTAGGCTTTCAGGCATGAGCCACCAGCACCCAGCTAGCCCTTGTCATTTTTAAATATGTGTGGGTGGCTTAATAAATCTATGTCAGATTTCCCCACTTAAAAAAGTATTTTAGCCCTTTTAGGTTAATTTGATTCTTACACTTCAATATTTACAAATGGCCAACGACCAAAGGGAAAACCAACCTTACCAATGTAGCATATAGCATATGACTGCTTCTTTAAGACAAGTCAAGATGAGCTGGGGATTGGGAAATCACCCTGTCTTTCATTGCAACAGATGCCTTTCCACTAGTATCACCTGCAACAGATGCCTTTCCACTAGTATCACCAAGTCCATGGATTACTTCAGTTTGTGTCCAGTTCTAGATTCCACGAATGAAGCATCAGAAAAACCTGGAGAACAACAGTACCCTTCAAACCAGAGGGGATCAATAGGGGTCTTCAAAAGGCTGTTGAAGGAAGGGACTTATGCTCAGAGCACATAACAATGTGCTCCAAGTAAGCCAGAACAAAAAGAAGACATGGTTTTCTTGCTCAAAAATCAAGAAAAAACTACCATTAAAATACATGTGTTTCTCCTTTGTTCCATAATCTCTTGTAACTTTTCTATTTGCTATTTAATGCTGTTCTAAGAAAAAAATAAAACTTATAAGTCTTTATCATTCATTTTTATATTGTACAGTTCCAACTTATCCATTTTATCTGGACTTGACTTTAATTATGAGTAAAGTCTAGGAGAAAAAAAGATGTGATACCCTATATTTTCCTTTTCTTTCATCCATTTCAACAAAAGTGGTTGTCTAATACAAAGCAAAAACATGCATAAGAAAGGCTATAGTAGAGTTCTTTGGTCATGTGTATTTCTGTCATTGCCTCTTTCTGTTTGGAACAAGTTTGGTTCAAATGGAAAGCATGGCTTCTTGGGACTCTCAGTACCCCCACACATTCACTTATACTCGGACTTCCTTTGTCTCAGAACTCTGCCATGTGTGGGTCATCTGGAACCAAGTGCTCACATGGCATCATGAAGTGTGTATGTGAATGGGCAATAAGGAATGTTGGACACACACATAGACACATCTACTCTGTTCACGTGTGTTTTTGGTATCCTCAGACTTCTCAGGCAACATAAGTTCAAGGATAAACTTAAGAATTTCAAGATAGAAAGTAAGCACTGGTAGTTCACACCTGATATACTGGCTGGTTGGGTGCCTGAAATTCAGAAGATCACAGTTCAAAGCCAGCATCAGAAGAAAAGTTATTGAGATTCCCATCTCCAAAATAACCAGCAAAAAGCTGGGCTTCGTGGCCAGGCTCAAGTGTTAAGAGTGGCAGCCAGGAAAGCAAACTGAAGGCTCTGAGTTTAGATCTACCAAAATAATAATAATGAAAGTATTTTTTCAAGACTGACTGGGACAGCAAGCCAAACGTGAGATCCATCCTTAATATGAGACTCCGACTACCTATGAAACTAGCTCCCATAAAAAAGGAAGAGAGTGCTTGTGACAAAGCTTAATATGGAAACTGAATGAGTTAAATGGGAAATATCCATGAGGTTTGGAAACTGATGCAAGAAAAATGACAATAGGCTCTATGAGAAGTCAAACATTGCTGCATTAAAAAAAACCCTAGAATTAGCAAAATGCTTCACAATACATTGATTTGGTTAAGATTGTACATGAATTGCTACATAATGCTTTTACAGGCCAAAGATAGGGATGTAAAGAGCCAGCTTGCCCATATGAAAATCCTCAGAATCTCCCTTGAACCTGTACTTTCCAAACATGCACCAATGTCACTAGAATCGGATAGGATCTCACTCCAGCTCTATGTAATCACAATGCCTGGAAAAGTCCCTGGTATGATTATTAATCAACTAAAATGGTTACAATGATGCTGAATTGGAAGCTGTGGTTTTTCTTTAATAGCATGGAGGATTCAAAACCTTTTTAATCTAATAAAGCATATATAATGAAGAGAAAGACCAAGAGACCTTTTGTAGTTTCTGCATAATGTATTTTTCCTAAACTTTTTATTATGGAGAATACTAAACACAAAAATACAACTAGTCCCCTGTATCCATTATACAGTTCCAGTTATCAGCTTATGCCTAATACTATTTTCTCTATACCCTTTTATACTCTTCAGACTTGTCTATTTTTGAATGATTCTTATTTACTGGATTTTAAGCTGACTACTTTGCTGTGTGTCTACAATTGCTCTAAGGGTTATATGTTCCTTTTTTCTTTTAATATCTCACACAAAGGTCTTTGGTAGTGTTATTTGTGCGGTATAATGCTAGCCCTTTCATTATAGTTGACTGGATTCTTGATTGGTTGCAATTCACTTTGTTCATTTTCTTCCTTTAAGCTTCAATCAACCCCCCACTGTATTTTTTTTCCAGCCAAGCATTCTGATTGTGATGTGACTATTAAATGAAAGACAAGTTAGTACCCAACACACAATCCCTTTTGCCACTCTTTCATAATTGATGTATAAAACTTCCAAGCATTAACTTCTTCCTACATGACCCATCCAGCTGTGCGTTCTTGAACCATTCTTTTTCCTTCCAGACAATAACTAGCTTGTTTGTCCTGTGCCTTTGTACCTATCATTTTCCCCCCTGAGGTTCAGCTCTAGTTGTCCTTTACCTCAGAGCCCTAGGAAGCCAAAACCAACAGACCACTCATTGAGGTGGAATGCATGCATTGAGAATTTTTCATCTTACCTTGTACCTTCCATTTTCAATCGTTATTGAAGACTTGATATCCTCCTGGACAGCCATTCTGCTTGCTCTAGAATCATGGAAACCATTAGTATAGTAAAGTCAGTTATACATAATTTTGAGCTAAATCAAGAACTGCCCAAATACTTCAGAATAGACTCAGAAGAACAGATAACCAAACAAAGAGAAAAAAGGTGAAAATGCTTAGGTTTGATGTTTACACAAGTAGGGAAGATAACCGTTTATTTTAGAGGTAGGATTCGTTAGCTCACAGACCATCTCTATTACAAAATCTCTATCAGAAAAACGCTGGCATATTGAAACATAATACCAATGTTTTGGTGTTATAAAATATTTTCCAGACTCCTTTCATGCTTAAGCTATGGCTCAAAAATATCAGAAGGTACCTTAATGTGTGGTTTTTAAATGGGATCTTATAATTATACATCCTTATATTTTCTAGAGCCCAGACTTTGCCAAATATCCTGTCCTGATAAATGTAGCAAACTAAATGAATCTATGTAACTAGATGTTTTCAATATCTAAGTACTTAGCCTTGTGTGGATGAAATTGTTATGAGCAGGCTTCACAGATAATACAGTTAAAAGAAACGGTGATCAGCCACAGCAACATGGTAAAAAAAAAAATTACAAGAAGGTAAATTCACCTCTCTTTTGGTCTTTCTACATATTTTATGCCCACAAACATATCAATATCAATATCTAACCTACAATTGTCTTGATAAGGAACCTTAAAGAGCATGATTTATAACCACTTACCTTCAGGAATAATATGTGGTTTGGCCAAGTTCTCAAAATGCCATCTTTAGTCTGCAACTCTCATTCCAGGGGAGAAAAAAGAAAAAGCAATACCTGTGACTTCCAAATTTATCTTCATCTTTGAACCATGAGGATGGAGATGAGGTGGTCTTTTGAAACATTCCAAAGTCCAAGCTCAACCCAAACAACCAATTAGTCCCATTCATGGTGAACAGAGATATTGGTAGTTCTTGATGCACCCATGTGAGTCTAATCTCCACTCTTAAAGGTGGCAACCTCCACACTACAGAATTTCTATGCTTCAGAGGTTGCATATTCAAAATATTGTTCCAAGTGGAACTTTTCTTACTTAGCTGTGAGCAAGAAATTAACCATGATTCTTCTAAGGTTTTGCTTGCTAAAACTAATAAGCATAGATTTATTCTGGTCACTTCCTCCTACATTCAACTTTTTATTCTAAAGAAACAACTCTCAGCCACCAGAGGGCATCACTGTATTTGTTCACTAAACTGGTGGGGCGGGGGGGGGGGGGGGGGGGGGGGGGGGGGGAGGAAGAGAGGCGCAGGAGCAGCCTCTCATAGTTTGTAAGTTACTATCTTATGTGATGCACACATTCCATGTCTATATTCAGTGTCAAGGCACCAAGGCAATGCCCTAACAAGCCACTGAACCATGTGTGGAATATTGCATGTTAGAACCATAAGGGAAATGAATATTAATACCCTAAATGGTGCTTTCAGTGGGGGGAGGGAATGGTAATCTACAAACAGACCTTTTATAGTTTCAGGCCCTCCTGGGGTGCTCACATCCATCAGGCATCATTTCACAAATGCCTTCTTGAAAGTGCTGACCAAAAGGAGCAAACACAGTTGCAGGAGCCTGGATTGTGATTATCTTTGTTTCGTATTGTATAGGACCTATCACACACTATAAATCACAACCCTAGAGGCAGAGGCATAGAAAGAATAATTTTCTACCCTCCTAAAGCACTTTCTACTATGATTCTTTTCCTTGATTTTGGAAGCAGAGATTTTTTGATGAGGAACCTTGTTGCCTTGGGCTAAGAGGCTTCTTTCTGTGAAGGTCCCCCCCAGAATCCTCTTTGGGCCCATTGAGCCCTCATCAAAACTGCAATTGTTGAGAACCCTGATATTCACAATGCCGGCCTCTCTAGCCACTGTAGTTTCTCATCCTGTGTACATGAGAGCCAAGTATTAAATGTGTGATCCAGAAGAGCTCTTTCTGTAGACAATGTATTAAATCTGTACTTTGTTTTATAGTAATTTAGTGTATTTTTTGGAAGATAGATTTTTTTACATGAAAGGCAAGAAAGTGAGTGACATAAGACATCAGGTCTGTGAAAAGCTAACCTTTCTTATGAGTTAAAGCTAATTATAACATTTTGGTATCACAACAAACCTCTGGGTCAGGAAATATATATTAGTTAATAAGTAGATAAGGTGTCCTACAGCAAACACATGTGATTAATTAAATCAGGAATGGCAAAGAACACATTGCTGGCCCTATTCACTTTATCACCGTATCAACAAAATATAAACCAAAGGAACTAAAGATCATTCCAAGTCAAGGTCCTTCTGAAGAGATGAAGAGACCTTGCTGATTTGGAAGGATGTGAGCCTACATAGCTCTTCCAGGTCCTATGCCTAAGAGAATAAACATTTCTCATTGTGACATTAAACTCTTTATTTAGTATTTGAAACATGGTGTACATTTATGAATTTGTATAAACATTTAGTACATCGAAAATCCAGAACTTGTAAACAATCTGTGCCTTCTTTTGTGTACAAGGTTGGAGTGTACATCTGGATGTTTTGGTGTTATGGAGATCCAGTCTGTGAATCTAAACAAATTGCCTCATATTCTCATAACAACTGTGACAGAAGTGATTTGTTCCTGAAAAGGGCTGTTCCTTCCCAGAAAAGGTGTCCCACTTCAGAATTAATAAACCAGGTATCAAGAAAACAAAAGAAACACGGCTGACATGATGAAAAGTGGATAGGAAGGAGAGATTCCTGGAGATCCATGCCAATGTAGAGCAGGCAACACAAGCCACGTGGTGACACCTAGAAATGAGTACTCCCCACTGCTAAGTGGATGCTCCTCTGTCTAGCACACTGAAGAGTCATAGTTGCATCTCAGAGGTGCTGACCAGGCCCAGGGCTCTGGCTTCTTCTGGAGTCAGACCATTCTTGAGGGTTCTTCTTACTACAGTAATACCGCCATATGAGAGAAAGAAGAGAGAGAGGGAGGGAGAGGAGAGAAAGAGGGAGAGGAGAGAGATATGGGGAGAGGAGAGAGAGAGAGAAGGTATTAGCAGAAGGCTTATAATCATCAAGCTACCAGTTCCCCCTGTTCCCCAAGACCTACCTCCATGGAATCTCAAGGACACTGTCCCTTCCTGCTCTTGCTGAAATGTCCTGGCTATCAGTCTGCCAGAGTTAAAAAAAAAATTAGGGAAATACAGCAGGCTGATCTGATGGTACTGTCCTGAAAGTAGAAAGCCTTGTAGGGGAGAGTTTCTGAGAACTGGATGCAAACTGCAGCAGTGCAGATGGCATATGGAGACCTCAGCCTCTGACTAACATATCAGAGTGGGAGTATCAGCTGGAAAAGTTATTAGGGCATAGGAAAACCAATTGCTGATGACCCAAATGAGGCAAATAACTAATGCATAGTGAGGGGGTCCTACAAGACCCAATAATCCAACGAATCTATGGGTTGATCAATGATAGATAGGGACATGACCCAGAATTTGGTACCTCTGCAAAGACAAGTGTTAGCAGAGCCTAGAGCAAGGGAAAAAAAGTCAAAGACCATTATGGGAGTTTCTGTCTCACCTCATTAAAGGGCCCTTAGGGACAATGATTAAAATAATCAGTGATTCATCATGGGTGACAAGGAGAAAACTACCAAACTCTTAGGCAGATGTTCTCTATAAAACACACAAGGTAAATGTATATACAATACACAGGGTACCAAAATAAAATCGGATAAACCATAGGGGAAAAAATGAGAGGAAAAAGAAATGACTTCACATAGTACATTAAAAACAACAACAAAGGAAAAACCTCGTTTCCATATCTTGGAGTTCATTTAGCTTAGCATCATCTTATATGGTCATATGTACATAGCTATTGAGCTATTGTGATCCTCTTCTAGGATCATCCTAGACATATACTAATTATTACAAATGAGGGAAACCATGGATGGAGTCTGTTTCTATGGGTTTGGCTTACTTAACGTGAGAGAAAGTAGGAGAAAAACAAGGGAGGGTGTAACAATGTTCGCCACTATGTATGTGTATGGTACTCACTACTATACATATGTAACTGTAACCCCTCTGTACATCACCTTGACAATAAAATGAAATTAAAAAGAAAACACACATAATAAGGTCAGTGACTGGCACACTGCCTTCATTAGGATCATTACTGGAAACTGAAAGGATGTTTGTTTTTAATTAGTGAGTGCAGAGCTATTGGCTGGTGTTTAGCTTGGAAATACGTTTCCCCCCCAACTGTTTGGTATTGATCAATTTTATGTCAAAATAAAGACCGGATTAGGATAAATGAGGAAGCAGCTGCCTTTCCCCTTATGTTCGAGAGGTTAACTAATCATATTCCCTTAATTTAAAATGTTATTTGGCCTATTGTATATTTCCTTGAAAAATAGAGTTTGGGGTATTTATTTTATCATCAAAAGATGTTTATCATGGATCTACTTTCCATAATCCCAAATCAGTAAGTTCTTGAGATGTTCAGGACAGGTCTTTATCAAAGCATTGAGAAAAGGTCATCCTTCCTGTCCTTCCATTTCTCTTACCCAATCCAATCTCCCTTACTCTCTCCTGGGTGGTCAAGCCCTCACCACACAGAATTGTAAGCCACACCCAACAATCTATTCTTTCTCATCAACCCTTGAACCAAAGCAAATTTAGCTTATAGCAAAAGATCTAAAAGATCTAAGCTCATGACAAAGTGAACAGACTAACATATATTAATAAACGGCTTCTTTCCCAGAAATCAGCACTTTGAACAGGGGCAGTTATGACTTCCCTAGGATATGTTCTGCACAAGTTCATATGGTAATTTTGCTATTTGGGGGAGGTTCTGGTAACTTTAGGAGGTGGGACCTAGCTGGATAAATAAGTCACTGGGTGGATCTTTGGTCGTATATTGTCCCTGGCTCCTTCATATCTATCTCTGCTTCCTTTCTACTATGAAGAAACTTTCAGCACACATTCCCACCACCATGATATTCTGCCCAAGTGAATCAGAGCAAGCAACCATGAGCTGAGCCCTCTGTAACTATGACTCAAATCTTTCCTCCCTTGAGTTATGTCAGATGTTTTGTTATAGAAATGCAAAAGTATGGGGCCAACATCTTATCTACCTACTATGTCATCAACTTTTAAACTCAAAGAATGAAAACTTCCGTGAAATACTCAGACATTAAGTATGAATGTTTTTCAGGAGATACATGGAACTGGCATGAGAGGTGCCCTCAAGCCATGCTACTCTACTCTTCTGTATTTCTAAGCCTAGCTTTGGGCCTCAGACCAATCTATTAGCAGTTCTTCTTGGCTAGCTCACCTTCCTCTCACCCCTTGCCTTGGACTCCGACTGAGTGTCTAACTCAACCAGACAAAATCTTTGGCTCTAGAGTCTTGGCTAGAGGCAGTCTGCATTTAATTGAGTAATGGAATTCTTTCTATGGAGCAGCAAATACTAGCTTGTAATATTTCCTTATGCTCTTTAAATCTATAAAGTATAATAGAAAGATAACTTTTAATAGCTGTAAGTCCACCCTGTTTAATTTATATAACAATAGCATAAAATAAGATTTTAAAGAATCTCTTATTCTCAGTAAGGAAGGCCTGCTAAGGCCTCTTCACCAATATACAAAATACTGCCAGAAGTCCTCTATATAGCAGGGTGTCTCAGGCTTCATTAGCAATGGAAGGTGCATGACATGTGTCTGGGGACCGTAATCTATGTATATGTAAGTATATGTTGTTCAGGGAGTAACTACACAAGCCTTCACAGATTAGTGGGCATTTTGCCCATGAAGTTGTTCAAAGATGCTTCATTATTAACCATTGCTCTAGTCCTATAACTGTTATATTCAGTTCATGTAAATACTTGAATATGGTCCCAGGTTCCTTAAAGCCCGTGTGATACTCTGCTAATAGATATGGGCCTTAAGCCAGTCTATCTAACAGACTTGAAGAACAGAACAAAGGTAATAAACTGGTCCACATAGGCCTTTCCACCTGACTGCACAGGGGCTGTGCCTTCACCTGTGTGCCTGTGCACAGCTTTAATACTTAGGAGCTTCCCTTTCTCTTTCAGCTTGGGCTCAAGGGTCCTCTGCTATGCAGAAAGTCAGTGTAGTTCCCATTGCTTAAAACAAGTAGGATCCTGAAAAGCATTTATAGCAAAGTATCTGTGCATTTATGGAATCCTACCTGAAAGTCTGCAGACTTCTATGACAATACCCATAAGACCTCTTAGAAAGACATTAGTGCTATGAAAAAGATAGACTCCTTCCTTTATTGAAGAATCAAAGTTAATTCACATTACCACTTGGAAGGACATAAGAAATAACAGTGATGGACTGAAATCACTTTGGATATTCCAATGCAAATAAGGGCCTCATCAATCCATTTGTTATTATGATGTTTTGGGTATCTACCCCAAGCTAACTACTACAGTTAGAGGCTTTGGGTTGGGGAGCAGAGACCGAATAAGGAAACAGGGTGAGGAGAAATGTTCTGGACAATAGAACATTCCAGACAGAAAATTGGCTCTCATTCAGAAAGCTTCCAGAAAGAAAGGAGGAAAGGAAAAAAACAGAAGCTGCAGAATATGTATTTACACAAACCTGCAACAGAAACAACTCTTCCAGCAGATAGAGCGGCTTCTCATGGCTCCATCTTTCCTCCTTAGGCCTGACTGGTCTCCAGACCCTTGCCCCTATGCTGCTAGATAGAGAAAGGGCTGGAAAGGTTGATCCCAGTCTCTTTGAAGCTCCTCCATACACATTGTGGGTCACTCTACTGAGGCTAATTGCCTTTCTGTGCCCAGTCACTTGTGATAGTTCTCACCATGCCAAGGTGACCGCGGGGCCATGGTGGGGATGAGAGGCAGATCAGACATGAGGCATCACCCCTGACAATGTGTGGCCTAGACCTGTTCAGGGATCCAGGGGAAAAACGAGTTCTTTTATCACCCCCGCCCACCAGCTTAGAAATGAAGGGGAGTTTTAAATCCTATGAAATATTCCCAGGTAACTTTGTTAAAGTGATGGTGATATTTGTCATTTGCTGAGTGTTTATATAAGCTTTTTAATCTTTATAGAAACCTGTGAGATGGGTACTGTTCTCTTTCCAGCTCAAACAGATCAAATCACTGGCCTAAGAATACACACTAGGTAAAGGATTTGAATAGGATGTTGGGGTCAGCTCTTACAGAAATAGCTGAGCCCTACTAAGGCTCACCCTTTCTGATAACCTTTCATACCAAGGAAAAGTTGACTGATTTTTATGTCCACATGATAGAAATCTGTTTCTTTCACCTTTAGATTACTGACCGGTTTGTTTTCCTTTGTTGCATACAATATCAAATATTATTTGGAAATAACTTATAGGTGGTATCCTTAATATTATAAAGATTTCATACTGGGTGTACTGTAAATGTGTGTCCAGGATCATAGAGCCTTATAAAGAACTTAAAGATACCTTAAAACATTTTTTGTATATCTTGTGGACAAAAGGCAACTGGCAAACTGCTATTCAAAACTATACCCCCTTTTTTGTAGAACTGGGGATTGACCTCAGGGCCTCTGACTTGCTACTCAAGTACTCTACTACTTGAGCACACCTCTAGCGCTTTTTGCTTTATTTTATTTTTTTGATAGGGTCTCATAATTTTGTCTGGAGATGGCTCTGGGCCATGATCTTCCTATCTTCACTGTATAGCATGTATCACCACTTGGAGCTTGTTAATTGAGATGAGGCTTTGCTAACTTTTTTGTCCAGTTTGGCCTCAAGCAGTGATTCTCCTGATCTCAGCCTCCCATGTAACAAAATTGTCTTTTTTTGTGGTACTGGGATCTGAATTTCTCAACTTGGAGCCTTGCAATTGCTAGTCAGGCACTCTATCACCTGAGCTGTGTCTTCAGCTCTTTTTGTATTATTGTCTAAA